TATAATAATTGTGTCTCGTAGTAAATTTTTGTCAGTCGCCTCTCTTCCTGAAATTCTCGAATGCCACTCTCCCTCTCTTGCTCGCCAGTTTCTTCCTCGTCTCAAATTGAATGTTATAATAATTGTGTCTCGTAGTAAATTTTTGTCAGTCGCCTCTCTTCCTGAAATTCTCGAATGCCACTCTCCCTCTCTTGCTCGCCAGTTTCTTCCTCGTCTCTTTCGCTTTATACAAACATAAATGTATAAATTGTGTTTCGATTTGTAAAAAGCGAGAGAAAATTGTATACATTACATATGCAAATACATATATCTTCGTCATATACACTTATAATTGTACAATACAAATATTCCCCTGCATAGTTCTCTTTTATCTTTCTCTCTTTCTCGTTTTATACAAATAGATTATACAAAATACAATGTATGATTTATGTTTGTATAAAGCAGGGGAGAGCGAACAATATTTGATATACAAATGTTTCATTTTGATTCAATTGTATACATATTCAAATATTATAAAGATATATAAACACATAAAATGAATTGAGAGACTGCCAATGATTTAATTTATACAAACGAGAGGCTGACAACAACTTATACAAATGGTCTGCCAACGAAATTATACAAATTTGAAGAGGAGCCACTGAATTATATAATTGTTTTTTTTGTATATATGTATAGCGAAATAGCCTACTTCTTTTGTATATATGTATAGTGAAATACTCATAGCATGTTTGTTATGGAGCGCACTTATGTAAATTATAACTATAACATACAAATATGATTTTTGTGTTTGCTAAATGTGAGAGTTGCTCAATTAAGAAATCAATTAATTGACAAAACAAAAGGCCAAAGAAAAATTTGGCAGCGCTTTTTACATGTATTAATTATTTAATTTGTGTAAATAAATATACATTTTAAAAAAAAATAATGATAGGGGTATATGTGTTACAATTTTAATACATGTATAACTAATACCATATAACTTATTCTACCTTTTTTACCACATAAATTTGTAACACCTCATAACTCTACTTTGAGAACGTGAATTGTTTGTCGTAGGTATATGAGTTTGAACTGGGTGATGTCCTACTTCCTCATGTATTTTAAGGTCCTTTATCAAGTGCATCAAAGGTATCAGAATTTATGTAAGGTCCTGACGGACCTCTAACAGTAAGTCAAGTTCAAAGCATTTTTTCAGGTTAAGTTTTTCGCATAAATTCATGCAAGGTTAACTTCAAACAATTATATCTCTCATAATATAATGAATTAGGTGGATCATGACCTATCAAATTAAAGGTCTATGAGTCTTCTTTTCAATAACACCAAGTTTGTATCAATTAGAGTTCAGAGTAAAAAGTTATGTCCACTTTACTGGACACTGTCTTACCGCGTACTGCTCGACCGAGGCATTATCTACACGATAGTGCATCGAGGCAGCACTTACTTTCTTTTTGCGCGTATAGTTGTGTGCCTAAGACGTTTTCAGTGTGGTTGGGCACGTTTAAGGTATTTTAATAACCCCTAAGAAGTAGTTCACTTCCCTAATTTCATAAATAAACCTAGAAAGAGAAGTTTTCAAGAAACTGACTTCCTCCAAGGTTCATCTATCATCTAAGGTAAGATTTGACAATAGATTTTCATAATTTCTTCATATTAACATCAATTAATATCTCCTACTCATGAAACTAATAGATATCAAAAAGACTCGATTCTCAAGAATTCATCTCCAAGGTTTAGAAAAAGTTTTCTGGTTCTTCTTCTTCCAAGATCACGTTTTTCTTCAGTGAGTGGAGGGATTAAGTAATAATTTCATCCTCATGTCTAAGATTTCTCGATTTCATGAACTTAATTCTATAATTAGGGTTATCCAATATACTTTCAAATTCATCACATCTATGACCAAAATTTCATGATTACTTGAATTATTCATTCATGAATATGGATTCTTGATTATTGTGCTTCCATTTTATATGTAGTAGAAATTTTTATGGATATTCTTATGAGTTATCGACCCAATATTATGTATAGTATGATTCATGTAAATTATATTTGAAAGCATGATTTAAGAGTCTTTATGTTATTATGAAAGCTATTTTGAGTACAAGTTATGCATGTCCAAGTAAATTTTCTCATGATTTGAAAAAGATATCTAGAAAGAGACTCTATGACTTTAAAAAGAATAATTTGAGTTTCATCTCACATATTCGAGCATAGTCTCACAATAAGATATAGTTTAGAAAAAGCTATTTGAGCAAAATTCATTATAAGCTTCTAATAATCTAATAGATATGTTATGAGCTATATAGATAGCATATTATGAGAGTAGTATTGAGCACTGAGTGAATACAAGTTTTAAATAGTTCAAGTTTAGAACTATGTGTCACGATAGTATTATGTTTCACTACTTTGTCGGTTAACTATTTTGAGAGTCTTAGATTAGTGGATTCACATTAGATAGACAGGTTCTATACCATGGCAAGGTATAGGTAAGTCATCCTCGAGTTGGATTGTAGCTTGATACTTAATGAACTCACATGATGTATATCGGTTAAGAAAAACTCCCACTTTAACGATTTGCTTAATTTATTTTGTCTTCTTGATACTATCATCATTAGATTTTCAAATAACATGATTTTCAAAAATGCATCCTTTCATATATGATTTTAGAAAATATGGTGTCAAATATATATTTTTGTTATAATTGTGTTATGTCTTGTGTCACGATTTTGACTCTCAGTTATTCAGTTATTGTTTATATATAAATCATGCCCAAATTCTTAGTTCTTTTAGTTTTTTGTATAATTGTTGATCTTAGTGCTTACCCTATATATCAATACATTTCATGTATTAACGCTACTCCACACTATATCATTTTATCATGATGTAGATTTCAACACACTGATCTAGATTTGTGAAAAGTCGTTTCACAAAATGTCTTTCCTTTCAGCATTATGATGAGTCCTCTTCGCATTCAAAGGATTACAGTTTTGTGTCTCTATATTTTATTTACTTCAACTATGTTAGTTTTCTGACACTCCCAGGTCTTGTCCCAGTAAATCATTATACTCAGTTTAGAAACTTCCGGACATTGGTGTTTGGTTGTAATAACTTTATTCTTGAACTTTATTTCAATTACGCTTGTAGTTTATACCTTACGCTTTAATTTTCATATGATATGCTTAAATATGTTATGCTAATGTTAGCTTGAGATGACTTGCGGTTTCAAGTACTATGTCTCGACTAGGTTGTAAACTCGGATCATGATAAAATTATATATAATTTTCTCATAAGTTATATAAATATTAATAATAAGGATTATATATAAAAGTGCACTCAAACACCATATATAATTTATACATGAATATTTTTTATATAACATTTTTAAACCAAAACATTATATAGAAGTAATATGTTGATAACTTTTATCATGTTTGCAAATCATACGCGGATAAGTTAGCTTTGGACTTACCCCATAACCCCAAATTATTTTAGCTATGATACCACTTGTTAGGTACAAGCGTTGAAACGAGTTATAGTTACTTCATTTTATCTTTGTTTGGCGCGCATTTATGCTACAATCGATTTTTTAATTGAAGAAAGATAATATGGTATCAGAATCTCATCAAATGTGTTGCTTTTCATTTTTAAACTCGATCAAACATATATCAATAGTTTAAGTATTTATAAATAAATAGATTTGTCATCTAATTAATTTTTAAAATTAGGAAATTATTTTTGAAAGGTGAGAAAATGGTCAAATACACCCTCAACTTATAATCGGGTTCTCAACTACATACTTATATTTTATCAGGGTCCTATTACCCCCTTGAACTATATTAAAATTGTATAAATGCACCCTTAAGTGTTGGCATGGCATAAAGAGTGTGTTCACTCTCTTGAAGACATGTGAAAGTTGAAAAAACTGATAAAAAAGATATTTTAAAAATATTTTGACTTTTTATTACATATAATTTTTTTACTTTTGTCTTTATTTAATTTTCTATTTCCTCCCTCCTCATCTCTCTCATCACTCAAAAAAATAACACCCCACTATACATGTTCTTCATCACCATTGTTGAACCACCCCTAATCTACTATTATAGCAACTCTCTTCACCCATCTTTTAATACTTTCTCATTATTTGTCTTACTATTTACTCACAATTTGTAACTCTGTATATCACCATCGAAATCACCACATAAGCATTAAGATTATTATTCATATTGTGAATTAAATTAAATCGTCTTTAATCTCTTTACTCTAATAAAATTCACCAACTTTCAGATCTTATCTCTAATCTCTATTATTGTTCGATGAAAAATTTAAACTACACCCAATAATGATTTTAGGAACTTGAGCAGCAATCACCAGTTGATTATGTGAGAAGAAACTTGATTGTATAGATGGAAGAAATGACCTTGATCCTTCAATGTAGTATTCATCAATGAAATCCTTAGGTGACAAATCCATTTATGGAAAAGACGCAACAATTGAAATGGGTTGCTCAACATTGATAAATTCTAGCTTCAATAGAGAGTATCAAAATTTTACCAGTGTTCATAAATTTGGTGAAGCTCGAAGAAGATGATGACAATCAAGAATGTATCATCAAATTTGAAAAATAAATTTGTCAAGATCAAAATAAAAGAGGAATAGAAAATGAAAGTTAAAGAGGGAAATATAGATGAAAACTTGCAGAATAAATGATTTTTTAAAGAACGTAATATTATATGGCAGGCACGTGCAGTTCACCTTTTTATTTATCTTTTAAAAGGGTATATATTATACTTTTAAAATGTTTAGGGGGGCAATAGTACTCCCGTAAATAATAAGTGTGTAGTTGAGAATTGAGTAATAGATTGAGGGTTTAAGACCATTTTCTCTTTAAAAGGAATGTAAAAGTTAAAACATTTGCTTGTGTTGAGATAGTTATAATATAAAGCGCAAATTCTCACACTAATGGGAAAAGTCATCTATTAGGTCCTTTTAAGGCTTAGCTCATTTAGTTTATTTAGTTGAGTAAGACTACTTCTATATTACTACTATATAAAAGAGTGAAAGGTGGGACGACCAAGGGTATTTTAATAATTTTCTTCTATATACAATTTCTAGAAGATAAGGAATGACCAAGGGTAAAAGTGTCATTTCACTCGGGTAAGAAAATATCATAGACTTCTCCACACAAACAACATGTATCTAGAAACATTTATACGTCTCTTTCACTTTTTTTTTACGCTTTCAAGAATGGTTTCTTAGTTTTCATGTCTCAAGAACATTTTTATCCTCTTTATCTTCACTGTGGACACGTTTCAGTCTGCAGGTCTGTTCGTTTTTCCTTCGTCTAATTTACGCCACCGGGTTTCGCTAATAATCTAGAATAAATGAAGGTTTCACTAGGGTACATGTCGAATTGCTTCTTGAATTTTAGTTATATTCTTTTTTATTTTCAATCTCAGATAAGTTCTTCATCATTTTTAAAATTCTTGTGTCAACTTTTGTTTAATCTTCATCTAATTCTTTTAAATTTTTGCTTATCTTCTAAAAAATTTTGTGTTCTTCACTAAGAAAAATAAATAAATCCTTGTTTTATCCTCTGATCGACTATTTTTACTCTGCAGGTCAAATCTTTGTTTGAATCTTCACCTACACTTATGGATTTTTCAATGTCCGAGTAAAATGCTAATCAATTTCTTTTTTCTCCTCCCAATTTTTATATAATCTTCGTTAAATTACTTAAATTTTTTTGTTTAATATTCCTAAAAAATATGTATTTCATGAATCTCAATAACTAAGGAAATAAAGTGGTAGATTTCTCTATGAAAAAAGAAAAAAATAGTAACATTAGTGTTTAATCTATGTAAATATTAGTCTTATTTTATGTTGAAATGTCTGAATTTGAAAAGTTCTGAATTATTTTGTCTGTCATAACATAGAATTCTTTCAATTTGAGGAGTTGTAACAAAGTGAAATCATCTCGTGTAGGCTGATTTTCTGCATATTAGTGTATTATTTAAATTTGAGACCAAAAATAATAATTACGAAGCTAATATAATACTATAAAAGACTATAAAAGATGTGAGTATGTTTTCACAGCTAAATTTACGTTGATGTTCTTCACAATAGTGTCTTATAAACAAGGTGAAACACAAAGAAACTCTTCAATGCACTGTGAACCTATTGAAATTGCACGAATTTGTTTTCTTCCTCGACTCAAGTTATTACACATTGTTTCATTTTTACTCTTCCGTTGATCTTGATGTGTTATATATACACTATTCTATTCTGAAACCTCAAAATTTGATGAGATTATTGCTTTATTCAAGCACCATGATTGAGATATAAGTTTTTTCATAACTGTTGCAATGACTCTTCAATAGAAGGTAAATAGCTATATTAAGAGATAAGATGTTGGTATCTCTTTTCTCACATTGTCATATATGTCTAAGTTTTATGGTAATGCTTCTCTAGAACCAAATGTTCCAACATATATAAGTTACATAGATAGCCACATGTAAGAGTAGTGCTTATTGCTCTCAATCCCTCCAATCTTCTAGGTTCGATTGCATTCACTCTTGTTCCAATAGGAAATTATTACTTTTGTTGAGGATGTTTGTTTAGCCTGTGCCGTTATAGTTTTCTATTGATGGTTGAAATGTTTTTGTGTATTACTCTAAATTATTCAAATTGTACATGCTGTTAATTTGAAGGGTACTGATTATAGATATATACATACATTTAACACTCTTGTTTCTTTTGTGGTACTCATGTATAAATAGTATGCAAGTTTTTATTTTCATTGGTTCAATTCCCCTCCTTACTAATTCTTTCAGCTAAAAGTAAGTAGTTTCACGTTATTTGCGAAAAAAAATTCTCCGTCTTTCTTTTATTTATAATTTATTATTTTTTTATGTGTGGAAATTCACTTGATATGTTATTGTTGATGTTGTTTATTGTTCTTTTGTTCCTTTGATTTCTCCAACAGTAAACAGTGTGACAAATGATATCCAGAGGACTTGTAAATATTGACATATAGTAAAGACTGCATCTTTTCTTTTTGTGCGAGTGAAAATTACAATTGTTTACCATCATGGAGCCAGATTGTAGAATATTCTAGCATAAGAATTTAGGAGAGACAATATAAAATTGAACCTTGTTTATTTCTGTTTGTTATTTATTAAAAAGGAAAAAAATTATCAATTAGAAAAAAGGTAGTAAGATTTGTGGACTTTTAATATCTATTAATTCATTGCTTGGGTACAATATTTCATTCTACTGTAAAGCATTATAGTTTTGACATAGTTCTCATATATTATTCTAAAGCTTGGTAAAAATATTTATCTAAATTAAGCTTCACAGTGCCTTGAAGTTGAACTGGAATGGAACAAAGAGCGATTCAGTTTATCTATCGAGTTCTAATTATGAGCAATGAATGAACTGGTTTGGCTTAGTTTTGAATTTGAAAGAATGAAGCAATATGATTGAGTATCATAATTTTCGTAAACCTTGAAGACGCTCTTATTTTTTTGTACTACATGAATGTTGCTTTGAATATAACTATTCTCCGTAGCGCATGGGTCTATTTTTCTAAGCACTTGGCCTACAATATACCATCACTCGGACAACTAACGTACGATTTATCATTTTGTGGTAGGTGTTTATTCCAAATTTATTGTATTTTAATAATTGTGTTGACAAATGTTGTGGCATACATGGATAGTCACCTGCAAAAAATATATAAAATGAATACTAATGTTGAGGGTGTGAGTAATTTCCTTTGTCCCAAGGATACATAGGATTATCTTTTTTCTTTCAAAGGCATCTCAATGTTCCTTATTATGCCATTATTGATATTTCTGTGTACTATTTCATTGGCTCACTTATTTAATTATTAACTTTTACTTCTATAACTTATTTTTTATTTTTGTTAAAGATATGTTCCTTCAAGTACTAAACCATTAAAAAAAATCATGTTACTGTCTTTTGCCTTATCAAATAGAAGTTCTCCATATTTTTGGAGTTCTACTAATTATCAAAGTTCTTGACGTATATAAATTACTGGAAATTAACAATAAATAGTTTTAGGAGAGTTGCAGTTTTTTAGTTCATGAGTTCGATTTAGTAATTTTGAAACTTGAATGTGTATTTGGTTAGCCGCATCTGGTTTATTATTGTGTTTTTAAAAAAAATATTTTTCAACTGATAAATTCAATGATGTCTATGATTTTTCTTGCACTATGATTTTACCAAATATAAGTTTGGTGATAACTTTCCAAGCTTGTGAAACCCATCAATTAAGACAACAACCAGTTAAAAACAAATCAGTTTTTAAGAAATTTTGCTAAGACAACATTTTCCTTTTTTTTTTGATTGATTAACTATTTTGAAGTTTTTTTAATTATATTTTTCTTTTCTTATATGCATTACTTGATAAGCCATGTCGACCAATACTTTTGTATCATGCTGATGTATGTGACATGCCAGCTATTGATACAAGGTGGTCTCAAGGATCAAAATTTTAGTTGTCTTCACATGTGATGACATTGCTTACAATAAAGAGAGCCCCAATACAAGTTGTCGTTAATAGTCTTGCTGGTGAGGATGTTTACAAAGGAGTTCTAAAGGCATATGTTTCGTCATTGTTTTACTCATGTAACACGTGCTGCCTCTTGAAGCAGGATTACACTAGCGATGATGTTAACGTGGACAACTTTTTAGTTCTCCTTGGTAACAACATTTTAGACATGTCAAGTCTACTTCTTTTCCCTGGCATACATTTTTCTTCTCATGAACTTGGATTAGTGATCACCTTTTATTTTGATGAATGTGTGGGTATGTTAAATATTATATAACCATTAATGTGGATAATAAAGAATATACATAGTCGTTTCAACTAACTAAATAATTCATGTCAGGTTCTAATTCAATACCAAATGTATGAGGTCGGTGATTTTTCTAATTGCAATTCTATTCATGTTCTCATTTAACAAATTTTTTAGCATGTGATCATCTTTCTCAACCAACTAATTCAGAAATCTATAATATTAATGTGAGTCTCATAAAAAAAATACATGATTGGCACTGGTACTAACTTTTGGCTGGAAAAAATGCCAACGACACTGCTCAAGCTAAAAGAGTTTTTATGATTTTCCAATATGGTCCAATACTTCTATCTAATATTTCCTCATGCATAATATATTCCTATAGGAAATGTTTCAATGATTTTTCTGCTAGAATATCATCAAATGAAGCATAGACATTGGAAACAAAGGTAGGCTTAATTTCATAAGACCTCAAAGGCTATTGTGAGTACAAATAACTCATTATACAAGTTTCTCTAGATTGCACCAAAATTTAGGTTTTTGAAATACGTCGAACTGGGGAATACCAAATTGAAGTACCACTGAAATCTCTGAGACATTTCAGAAAATGAATGTCATTTTATGGCTGTTGAGTATGAATTCAATAATGTCTCTATTTGCAATAATTGTGTTCTTTAATAAAGCTTACAACAATTTAAGACTTGTCGCTCGTGCTCGTCTATTAGTTTGCATATTCAATTGAGCATGACAGAAATTTTGATGTTTTTTTATCGAAGTATTTCTAGTTCTAGAACTTTTATGTATTACGGGAGCATCGTTAATTTAGCATCAGAGAAATTCTAATGATGTATTTATCGTAGTATTTTTACTTCCGAAACTTTTATGTATTTATAGAAATAGTTTAGTAATAGTTTATCCTGTTCTTTAATCTTATAGCAATAATATTTGTTCATTATAATCAGACCATAATAGAGAAAAGTCGTAAGTTTTTTCAAAATCATACATTTTGGGCCCGTGCATAGCACGAACATTTCATATAATCTTTAAATAAATTTAAGATTTATTTTTCATAATTTATTTTGTACAAATTATTTATTGAAATTTGAATTAATATTTAAATTTTAAATTAAAAAAATAGTTTGGTTTGTTTAGAATGGAAGTAAACAAAAAGTTTTGTTTGTTTAGAAGATGAGCAACAAAAGTTATTTTTGTTCAGAAAGGGGGAGATTAAAGGTTTGTTCTTGCATGAAAAATCATTTGTTCATTGAAAAGAATATGACTATTATGAAAACGTGAAATGGTCTGATGGACCCTTCTACTTTTATGAGTTTGTTTTGTGAATCCTTTAACTCTATATTTTTTCAAGTGTACCATGAAACTTATGAAAACACAATATTTGAAACACCTATGATCAATGACAAAACTTAAGTGGCATAAATATCGTTGAGTTGGAAAAATGTGTGAATACAAACACTTCCAAGCGTGTAAATACACTATATTATATTTTAAAATAATATTTTTTTAAATAAAAAAACTTATTTCTTCATTAACTCTTTCTTTCCCTACCCAACACCACCACCGCCTCACCCAATTTATCTACTTCTTCAGCACTCTTCCCACACCTAAACCTAAATTTCTTCTCTTCTTCTTCAACAATATCATACGCCACACCAATTGTCTTTTTTCTCTTCAAAATCATCCGATATACACTATTTTACTTCTTCTTCAACACTCTATCCTCTTTGCAACAAATTAACATCCCGACCTCTTTTTTCCACCCCCATTTTCTAATTTCTTGGTTTTTTTTATTATTTTAAAAGTTGAAATCATAGTTTGTGTTAGTTAGATTCAAAGTGTAGGTATGATAAAGATTAACGTAAAGGGTGATGGTGCTATTGTAGAAATTGAAAACTCCATTGATAAGCTTAACAAAGAAAAATTTCATCTGTTTGTTATAAATTTGATGCTCAAATTGTGAGCATATGTGAGGAATTAACTATTAAAAAGGTTCTGAATTTACAAAAAGTTAGATTATTTAATTTTTATTTTCTTAGTAATATTTAATTTCTTACTTGTTTTTGAAAATGACATGAAATTACACATGTAAGAGGTTGGATTACGCACAACTATCTGCTGAGAAAAGGATTTAAAATATAATTATTTAATGAGTTTAAGATTTAGTTGACAAAGTGTTGAGTAGAAGGGTTTGTAATACAAACACATACACGTATAAGGGTGCATTAGACCATTTCACCTTATTAAAAATTACTTACTCGTGAAAAAACATGACTAATGAAAAGTCATATATGTTCATGAAAAATATGACTGCTATGAAAGTCATCTTGTTCTACAAATACGAACATATCTAGAAGTAGCTTATTCAATTGCATATATATTTCAGGCTTTATTGTATTATGATAGAAAATTGATTATCATCCCTTATAGAATATAAATAAATGCAATAACTCTTGACGAATATTGATTTTTCACGCCTCAAAGCTTTAATTTCTCTGTTATTTTTTTTTACGGTTTGAAAAGTAGAGAAATGGTGAAGATTCAAATGACCTTCTGAGCAAGGCGCTAAAGATGCAAAATAAAAAATATACGAATACAATTATTGATAATTTTTTTTTAAAATTGCGGTTAAAAAAGTGTGACTCGTTTGTAAAATAAAAACATGAATTAAATAGATCTTATTCAAAAAAAAATTATTTAGCACTTAATCGTCTGTTAATTCAATTAATGAATTAAGTTCATAATTAGGCAATTTCATAATAATTAAATA